CCCTTAAATTAAGGAGTATACCTTAAATTATAGTAGGATCCTTATATCCCTTAAATTAAGGAATAGACCTTAAATCAATAGTAGGATCCTCAAATATGATTTAAGGTATATTCCTTAATTACAGGATATTGGAGTCTCTGGGGCTAGAGTCTTCCGATACACTTCCTCATCTCGTCAGCATCACGGATGCAGCATGACAAGAGCTGTGAAGTCAGTGGGCTAGACACGCCCTAAAGCCTGAAGCAAAGCTACACGTGCAGCCAATCAGAGGCCCAAGCCGATGCCTTGGCATCCGCCGCCCGGTCCTCGGCCTTGGACCAGGAGCTCTCATGTCTTGATCCCTGGATTTTGGGGTCTTGGGAGGGGTCTTGGGATGGAGGGTATAGCATTTTACGGTTTCAGATCAGGGCGGCCATGGTAACAGAGGATATTCGGCTCACCTGCGGAGGCCTGTTGCGTTATTTGGGTCGTGGATGGTGGGTTCGCGCTTGGAAGGCGTGTTTACGATCTTTGGCCATTTCGGTTCTAGGTGGGTTGAGCGGGCGTCGCACATGTGGCATGTGCTGGCATCTGAACTTACATCTTAACTCATTCGGCCTCGCATGTCACTCCCATAGGATATGATAGGAGTGAGGATCGACATCTTCAGTCTCCTGAGCCATCGTGTTTCGCGAACGTCCTGGAATATCCGAAGCTTCGAAGCCAAGCGCCATCCTTTCAGCCTTCGTGCTTTGTTTCTATGTCCAGTGGCTCCATGAACAGAAACAAGACCCGACTCTAAGCCCTCAAATTTTTGGCTCTTCTCCGCCGGGCAGTTCCAGGTCAAAGCAGGCGCTGCCAAAGCTGTTGGCGCTTTGGGCCCAGCTGTTGAACACACATCTCTAACACCCTACAAGTACGTACAGACAAACGGTGAGATGCATGAGGGGGTTTTGGTAGCATTACAAATACACGTGCATGCTTCTGTTCGTGTACATTAGTATGCATATGTATGTAAACACATGGCCGTAACTTACTTCAAGCTTGTTCGTGTGTAGTGGTTTGTGTGTGACGGCATGAAGACATATGTAATTACATACATACATATATATATATATATAATATATAGTGCTGCGCACCTCACATTATAGAGATATACAGTATGCTGGCAGGGCTTTCCCCGGCACAACCCGCACATTTTCTGACCGGATGGCTTGTTTTCTGAGCAATGTTGTGTGGGGTCTTGCTGCTTCGAGTCTTGGATTGACTGCGAGGCATGTGTAGTTTGGTATTCGGATGTGTGCACAAAAGCCTTGAGCCGCAACCACAACCTCTAAATTCCTGGACGCAGCGAGAGGTCTGCAACTTTTCCCTCGCAGAGCTCCGTGTGGTCCACGATCGCTTGAAATCCGTCCACGGCCTCCCCCTGAGCACCTGCCAGGCGGGCTGGGGGTTTCAGGATACAATGGCCTGCAGGTGCAGACTGCCTCTTGTTATATGGGTAGTTCTCTAGTTTAGGGTCCCTTTTTCGGTCCACAAAATAGTACGGCACCCTTATAAAGGGGACCCTAAAAGGAACCCTAATTTAGAGAACTGCCCATATCGTGGCTGGGTTATCGAGTTCACCCTCTCATTGGCTTTTGATCAGGTGGAGCTGTCGCTGCTGCGCCAACTCCCTGTGTCGTCCGGCTTGGACAGAGCCCCGGCAATGTCCGAGTGCAGTAACAATGCACTCTACTTGGAGCGTCAGGCAACCACCTAAACAGGGGACCCCCGAATTTTCCGAAGCTTCGACTTAAAACTACAGGCCTATGCCAGACCCTTTGTACTCCCGGCCACAACACAAACCCACTACATTCAGCATCAGTATTTTCTGAGATGGCTACAGCCAAGGCGACATCGTGTGCGATCAGGTGCAAGCATGCACAGTACGTATATGCAAAATACGCTGGCAAGAATATGGCATTCGCTTCTCAAACGGAGCAAGACTCTGGCAATGGTCGCTCCTGTTTCGTTCTGTTATCCTGTGAGCGTTTCGCGAAACACGCAGTCCCTGATCCCGAAATCTCTTCAATCGTGTGTGTTTGTGTGTGTCAGAGTCTGATGATGTTGCTTCTTGTTGCTATTTGGCTGATTCTGATCTCAGTGAAGACCGACCCTGTGGAAAATGCCTCAACCGGCACTGGCCGATCCTGCAGTGACTGCAGTTTGCCGTGTTTGTCCAAACATCTTGACAACTTGAAGCCGACCATCGTGAAATTCTGGGATAATGCACGACACCTAGCAAGTGTTTGAGGACCTCTACCATACCATGTTTTTTTTTAAGGTTCGCTCTGGTTTTTGACATCGCGTGTGTTCGCTTCGGCACGGTGTTTCACCCTCTTGCCTGCACGGTGCACTCTGGCCCTCTGATCCGTCGATCCGATCCCCCGGTCGATCATTGACACAAGGTTTCTTGCCTGTCCATGTTAGAGATCCTCCCTTTACCATGGACGGTTGGGATTGCGGATAATTCAAAAGGCACGCATAGCAAGGCTCCTCTTGTCTTCTTCCCCAACAGGGCCCACATCCCTTACGAGTACAACGCAGGGAACGTAGGTACCATGGTGAGAGCAACGCTTCCACGGCTTATTGCTCTTGTTCAACACTTTCTCACCGGAATGATGCCCAGAGACTCCAATATCCCTTAATTAAGGAATATACCTTACATTATAGTAAGATCCTTAATATGATTTAAGGTATATTCCTTAATTAAGGGATATTGGAGCCTCTGGGTGCGCTATTGTCTGTTGCTTTGTGTTCGGTTCCCCCGCCGGCGCGGACCGCCCAATGTCACCTAGGTCAATGGCTGTCGCGAACTGGGGATCACGGCACGGGGCCCGGTTTACGTGCCCAATTCGGAGCATCCATTCTGGTATATCACTTTATACCTGTCTCTTGTAGTGTAGTGCTAGTTTATGTATGGTCTATTCTGGTTCGCAGGCTGTTCCGGATTCTGGGTTCCTCGTGGACTGTTTTGAGGGTTGAGTCATCGAGGGTTTTGGTTTGATCAAGAGCTTTAGACGTAGGATGATGACAGGCCGCAGCTGTACTACCACAGCTTATACCTAGGAGGCCAAGGCTGGCTCGGATTGCACATTTCAGGTCCAGGTCTCGGGCCTGTAGAAGCAAGTGTCACTCATTTGGAGCAGCTTTTCGTGAACCTTTAAAGCTCCAGCCCTCACTCAGAGCCGCAGGTTTTGGCCTTTTCGCCGTTGGCAATGGGTCGTCTTAGTGGGCAGTATGCCGCGGCCTGAGTGTGGAGCTCTGCTCAAGCAGACTGGCACAAGGAAGCCAGGCTCAGCAGCAAGCATCACCACCAACACTGGTGTGGCCAATCACCATAGACGGCTGCAAGACAGGAAGTCACGGCTCACCAGCACCAGTGCCACTGCCAACTGTAGTCTCCGCATCGGTCTCACGCCGTATCCGGGCCACTCCCAGAGAAAGGCAGGCTCTGAGAAAAAGGGAAGTTGTTGTAGCCATCCGCAGACCTTTAAGAGGATCGCCTTCCCCGGATCAGATTAGGGATGACGCACCAGAGGCGGAGGGCTGTGCTCGGGCTCGTCCTGGTGGCCCTGGTTTTTCGAAGCCTCGGGGGCCCCCAGAGTTTCGTGGGCTCGGCCCGTCCGCGAGCGCGCAGCGAGGGACGAGGCCTGGTGGTCCGGGAAAGCTTCCAGAACCCCTTGGCGGGCCCGGATGGCAAGATCGACCAGAAGAAGGCTGGAGCCGACAGAAACCCGAAAGAAAGCCAAAAGAAAGCCTTGACTTGGGAGCCTTAGTTTAGGCCTTAGGTGCTGTCAGCATGTCTGAGACAAAACCGGAGGTCGACGCCGCGCTTTCCACGGGCTTAGACATCGCGAAGAACGTCCTCTTCGCGCTCTTCGACATCTTCAAGGAGCCACCACAGGAAGCGACGGGGAAGGATGCCCCCGGGCTCCTTGCTCTGGGCAGCGGCGGCGTGCTCGAAGCTTTGAAGGGCTGTGAGGTCCAGTCGGTGAAGGACGCCTCTGCCAAGGATGCCGCAGCCCTTTGCGCGTCTAAGGATGGGGGCCTAGCCGTCTTCTTCCTCACACACTTCGGTGATTTTAACTCTTGGGAGGTAGCACAGCAACTGCGCACTGCCATCAGGGAGGGCCGCACAGGCTCTGCCCGGGTGGTCATGGTGGGGATCGGCTCAGTGGACTCTGGCAAACTCTTTGCAGAGCAGCTGGAGTTGCCGGATGCCTTGGAGATCTACGCGGATCCCACGGGTGCTTGCCACCAAGCTTTGGGCTTCAGCACTGGCGCGCTGCCACAGTACAAGGAGAGCCTGAACCCCTACTTCCGAGTCTTCTTGATGCTCCTAGGCGTCGGCTCACCCGGTACAATCCGGACAGTCTTGGGCGGCTACTTCGGCAACACAGCCTTGGCACTGGATGAGACTTCTTGGGTTGACGAGGCACTGAAGCAGGGCGCCCAGAAGGGTCGTTTCCCGACCTCAGTTCCCCGACGCCTGCCATGGGAAGAGAAGCCTGCAGATGGCGGCCCCGAGTGGGTGGAGCTGGCGACCGCGGGCTCGGAGGTCTGGAACAATCGTGGCTTCGGGGAGACCGGCCTTCGACCCTTCGAGCTGGCGACGGTCCGGCTGCAGAACATGATGGGTGGAATCATCGCGAACTGGGACAGCCTAAAGCCCGCAGACGACGAGCTCCTGGTTCAGCAGGGTGGCGCCGTAATCTTTGACGGCGAGGAGGTCAGCTACTTCTTCCGAGATAAGGGCATCCTCACCTATGCACCTGTGACGACAGCTCTTCAGTCACTACCCAAGAAGTGAGACAGTGAGACCTGGCTAAGTTGCTGTTTTGCAAGCAGTCAATCTTCTCAACTGAACGACAAGAAGTTCAAGAAGCAAGCCAGTTTTCGTGCAGCTCGCAGCGCTAACGGTCTCGAAACAACATGCGCTCCCATGTTCTTCGATGGATATTCTGAGACCAAGGACGCGAAGGAATAGAGATGTCTGGCCATCTGCAAAGTAGAATGTAGAAACTGTAGAACCTAAAGACCTAAAGGCCAGGAGCTCCCAAGCACCCCTCAGCATTCTGTGAACGGCTTAGCCCTCGACCCTAGACCTAAAACCCCTGAGCTCTCTCCCCATCCGAAGATCCAAGAACTGGTTGCAGAGTGGGCTTTGTGTGACGGTTAGGGGATTGGGGGTTGAGTGGGCCATGTAATAAGACTCTGAGTCGTCGGAGGGTTTCCCTATGTCCCGACATTGTGCCCGTTCGGAAAAGTTATTGGAGACCAAGTTCTCGCCTTCAGAAGGGCCCAGTGGTCGCATCACAAAAGCCTGAGCCGATCCGAAGCCGCAACTCCGATAGATCACAATCTCCTCACCCTCTCCGGCCCCAAACCAAGATGCACTACTAAACTCTTCAACCCGCACGGTATTGTCCTTAAACCCTTCTAAACCTTTGAAGCGCCTTGCCGCTAAGATGGTTCCGATGTGTCGCAGCATGGTACCGACGCTGAAAACATCCATGAACCCGGAAGCAATCATCCAAGAAGGATTCTTTCAAACTTTACACTTGTCTTAGATTCTACTCTCGTACGCCACCCCCTTCCTCGACAGGAAGAGGGAGAGCGAACGGTAATCCACTCGGCAGGATAGTCACGGCTGCAATACATGTAGCAACGCAATAGTATCGAGAAGATAAATATAGATAAATAGTGCAATGACATCATCATCATCATCATCATCATCACCATCATCAGCATCATCATCATCGTCATCACCATCATCATCATCATCATCGTATTGTTCTTCTTCTTTTCCTCATTCTCATTTACTGCTGCTGTTAATGCCAGCTGACTGCTACTGCTGCTGCTACTGCTTTGCTACTGCTACTGCTGCTGCTACTGCCACTGCCAC